CTCCTTGTACTGATAAAGGACTTTGGCAAAGTCTCAGGGTATAAAATAAATGTGCAAAAGACAATCACATTTCTTTACAGCAATAATAAATAAACAGAAACCCAAATAAAAAGCACAGTCCCATTCACAATAGTCACACAAAAAAACGAAATACCTTGGCATCTTCCTAACCAGAGATGTGAAAGACCTTTACAATGAAAACTACAAACACTGCTCAAAGAAATCAAAGATGACACAGACAAGTGGAAAAATATCCCATGCTCATGAATTGGAAGAATCAACATTGTGAAGATGTCCATCTTAATTACCTAAGATTACCTAAGGCAATCTACAAATTCAATGCAATACCCATCAAATTACCAGCAACATTCTTCTCAGAGCTAGAAAAAACAATACAGGAATTCATATGGAAACACAAACGACCAAGAATAGCCAGAACAATCCTCAGCAAAAAAAAAAACAAAGCAGGAGGAATCACATTACCAGACTTCAAGTTTTACTATAAAGCTACGGTCATCAAAACAGCTTGGTATTGGTACAGGAATGGCATACAGACCAATGGAATAGAATTGAGATTCCAGAAGCAAAACCTCAATTTCTCAACCAACTCATCTTCGACAAAGCCTCTACCACCTACCACTGGGGAGAGAAGAACCTATTCAGTAAATGGTGCTGGGAAAACTGGCAGACCATATGCAGAAGATTCAAACAAGACCCCTATCTATCCCCATACACAAAAATTAACTCTAAATGGATCAGAGTCCTAAGTGTAAAACCTCAAACCATAAGAACCTTAGAAAATGCAGGACATACCCTTATGGAAATTGGAACTGGCATCCAATTCCTGAACAAAACCCGAAACACACAGGCCATAAGAGATAAGATAGACAAGTGGGACCTCATTAAACTGACAAGCTTCTGTAAAGCCAAAGAAACCATCAAGAGAGCAGGGAGACAGCCCACAGACTGGGAAAAAGTATTTGCCAACTCCATGTCTGACAAAGGCCTAACATCTTGGATCTACAAGGAACTCAAATGTACTGAAAAGAAAAAAACAAACAACCCCATTATCAAGTGGGCAAAAGATATGAACAGACACTTCTCAAAAGAAGACATACAAGCGGCCAACAGACACATGAAGAAATGTTCAACCTCACTAATCATCAAGGAGATGCAAATTAAAACTACACTGAGATACCACCTAACTCCAGGCAGAATGGCAATTTTCAATAACTCAAAAAAATTACAGATGCTGGAGAGGACGTGGTGAAAAGGAAACACTTCTACACTGTTGGTGGGAGTGTAAACTAATACAGCCTCCCTGGAAAGCAGTGTGGCGATTCCTAAAAGCTCTAAATATCGACCCTCCATATGACCCTGCAATCCCCCTGCTGGGAATATACCCTGAAGAACTCAAATCACTCTATAGAAAAGATACCTGCACACATATGTTTATTGCAGCATTGTTCACAATAGCAAGAACCTGGAACCAACTATGCTGTCCATCGAAAGAGGACTGGATTAAAAAATGTGGTACATATACACAATGGAATACCATAAAAAAGAACAAAATCATGAATTTCGCAGCAATCTGGATGGAACTAGAGTTTATAATACTGAGTGATCTCTCACAGAAACAGAAATCTGAGTATCACATGTTCTCACTCATAAGTGGACCTTGAATATCTATTGTAATACTATAAGAAAAAGATTGACAGTGGTGGGAAACTATGGGGGGCAGAGAGGGGGAGGGAGGTGGGATTAATGGTAGTTAATATCTGTCTGGGGAAGGGGGCACACCCTTTATCAACAAGAGTGCCTGAATGATGCATATTTGTATACCTAACCCTTAACTGTACCCCACATTTTTAAAATAAAAAATATATTTAAAGAAAAAAACAAGAAAATGTTACTATTCTTTGGCCCTCCAGGAAGTCAACAAGCAAAATGCCTTGATCATTCCCAAAACTGTTGCCATGGTCTTTGCACTCGACTGGTCCAGTTTTATTTTAACTGGACCACTTCCATCTCTTGGTTGCCACTACTTTGATTGTGCTTTGTATTCAGCAACTTACTGGTGAAGCCATGTTTCATCTCCTATTACAAGTCTTTGAAGAAATGTTTTAGGATCTTGATTCCACTTGTTTAAAATTTCTTTTAAAAGTTCTGTTGTTGTCTGCTGCTGATCTGAGCACAACCGTTTTGATATCCATAGAGTAGAAAATTTGCTCAACTTTAATTTTTCAGTCAGAATTGTGTAAGCTGAAACAACTGAGATATATATGATATTGGCTATTGATTCTGCTGTTAAACATCCATCCTTCTCTATTAGGGCACCAATAAGATGATTTTTTTTTTTTTTTGAGTTGGAGTCTCACTCTGTTGCCCAGACTGGAGTGCAGTGGCCGCTCCCGGCCACCGCAGCCTCGACCTGCTGGGCTCCGGCGATCCTTCCACTTCAGCCTTCCAAGTAGCCGGAATTACAGGCATGCACTACCACGCCTGGCTGATTTTTTTATTTATTGTAGAGATAAGGTCTCACTGCCCAGGAGGGTCTCGAACCCGTGGGCTCAGGCAATCCACTCACCTCAGCCTCCCAAAGGTGCAGGATTACAGGCTGAGCCACTGAGCTGGCCCAGGATGATTTTTTTCCTTGCAAATCAATGTCGATGGTTTGCCACTCAGTCTTCATCTCCAACATCACCTGGTCCCTTCTTAAAATGAGTTATCCATTTTTAAATTGGTGATTTCTTTGGGGCATTGTCTCCATAAAATTTTTTTTTAAAGCATCAATGATTTTATTATTCTTTCACCTAAGCTTCACCATGGATTTGATATTTGTTATTGCTTCAATTTTAGTAGAATTCATGTTTGTCAGATAGGGGCTCTTTTCAAACTGATAATTCAATCCTTCTTGATGCTTCAATCTAGATCTGTTCAGATATGTTATGACAAGCTAATACAAGTTTATTTTGGGACAAAAAAATGTGAAGTCCATGTGTAGTTTTCTCATAATACACATTTTCCATTAACATTTTGAAGACCCCTCTCATACAGGTGAACAAGACAATCATATTTTCTGACTTTATGTGACTGACATTCTAGAGGTGAGTACAAACAAAACAGTAAGCAGTTACAACTTACGTCATCAGTGCTAAAATGTGTGAAGTACAGGGTGCTAATGGAGAACCTCAGAGGGTAATCTTGAAGACTTGTTGGATCAGGGAAAATTTTATGGAATAAATGATGTTTGAGATAAAACATGAAGAATTATTTGGAATAGAAATTAGCTGAAGGATCAGGAGAGAGCAGGAGCACAATGTCTCAGGAAACACTTTAAATAGTTGAAGTTGTATCTCAATCTTTTTGCTTAGTACTGTTCTTTTAATAAATTATTCAGAGAAATTTTCATTTTGAAATAACAATTTTTTCACTTTACCACTCAACAGGAAATATCTTCATTTTTAGTACCTTACTGGGAACTAATAGAAAGTTCCTATACAAACACCATCAAAACAGTACTCAGGCCTCTGAGAGAATACCAGTATTCTATGCTTGTTCATTTATATGACATTAGGTAAGTAAAATTTCCAAAGTCAGAATTTTATACAGTTTACAGGTGTGACATATAAGATTCATCTCATTGTCTTAATGCTTTCAGAATAAATTTCCAGGAGTTTCTAAGGCGTCCAGATCACAAACAAGATTTTGTCACTCAGTGGCAGATGGATTTCAACTCTCTGCCTGATGACCTATGGGATGATGAGGAAACAAAGGCTGAACTACACCAAAGACTGAATGTAAGAAACCCTATGATTTGTTGGAACAGAGTACCAAGAATCTCATGTCATATCCTGCAAAACCCCAACTCATTCTCCTCTTACCTTTATGAGGCTTGAGGATGAAAAAGAAACTAGTTTGAACTCTGGCTAATTTTCAAAAGTATTGACTTTTTTGCACTTTGAGTTCAGAATGAGAATACCATGACATCACTTCTGGAAAGAACATTTTTGGCCTCTCTCTTATAGATTTCTAACCTCTTTGTTAGTCCATGTAACTATGTTCATGTTTGATGTTAATCACATGCCTATTTTAAATGCAACTATATAGTTTGTTGATGGCAAGGAAAAGGGAAATGAGTGAACTACATGGAAAACCTAAAGGATTGTCTCTGTTGAATATATCTCTTGAGGGGAGGTGCTAAATACAAAGTGATACACATCTTTGTATCTCAAACGAGCAGAATGCCTGGCATTTGGTAGACAGGCAGATTTTCATAAATTCATACATAAAGTATATTACCCTGATGCTTTAGAAAAGGGACTCTGATGTACAAGAAGCCTGATTTTAACGTCTTACTCTTCATCTTTCCTTTGTAAATTGACAGACCCCTTATCGCATCAGAGGAATCCCTTGCCATTACCTTAAATATAGGTTTCTACCAATCAAATCAGATTATGATCTCAGTATTTATTTGTGCAACAAAACATTGCCAAACTCTATTTTATGCTTCATTCCATCTGCTTAAGAAGTATTTGTTGAGCATCTATCTTTGTCCCAGCACTGTTCAAAGGACTAGGGATTCAGCAGTGAACAAAAAAGTTTATAATCACATGATTATGTTTCTGTGGTTCGGAGACAGAGTAAGTAATAAATAAGTGAACATACAGTGAGTGTGTCATTGGTAGTATGAAAACAATGAAGCAGGGCCAGGGGATAGGGACGTTTGTTGTACTATTTTTGTACAGGATGGCTGTGGAAAGTCTCGCTGACAAGGGCACGTTTGAACAGACTCAGTACAGAGTGATTGAGTGAGCCATGCACGTATCTGAAAGAAGCGTGCATCAGATGCAGGGAAAGCCAGTGGGCAAAGGCAATGGAGGAGGAGGAGGACACTTGTGTGTGTGAAGAATGGCAGGGAGGTGGGTAAGGCTGGAACAGAGTGAACTGGGCAGCAGTGACTGGTGATGCGGTTAGAGAGATCAGAGAAAGTAGGTAACCAGATTATCTAAGGCTTTAAAGGTCACCATAAGAATACTGGTGTTGATCTGAGTGAGATGCAAAGACTTGAATCTGGTTTTCATAGATTCTATAGTAGAGTAAAAACAGCAGAGAGACCAGTAGGAAGGCTCATTGGTAGGCTCTTGTAATAGCAAGGGGGCATCATGCTGGCTTGAGTGTTTGGTCAGGGTACTAAAGGGCTTAACCAAGGAGGGATCAAAATATCCTAATACAACTGAAGTATTTTATCTGTTTGTAAATATTCCTCAACCAGTAATTAATATATAAGTAAATCCTAAACCTATCTTTTTCCTATCTTTTGTTTTTCCTACTTATTCACAAAACCAGGCATCTTACATACTTCTACCTAGACATCTTATGTACTTCATCTTATATACTTCTACCATCTTATATACTTATACCCTGTAATAGGTGATTGTTGGCAGAGAATGAGAAGATTTGGAAATCTCAAATATCTTATTTGGAATTTTTTTCTAAATCTAATGCACCATATGTTTGTTGTAGATAAATTAGATAATAAAAAGAAGTAAAATCTAAAAGGACAACTTCATAATCCCACTGCCAATAGCTGACTGTTAGTACCTTGGTACACATCTGTATATTTTTCCAGATTATTTTTACAAAAATGTGATAGAAAAATACAAATTGTTTTGTAACATTCTTTTTCATCATAAAACATATTTTCTTTTTTAAATAAAGATTTATCTACAATATCATTCTTATGGCTAAGAATTATGAATGAACTATCAATTTATTTAACAAATCTTTATTTTTATTTTTTTTAGTTGGAGTCTCACTCTGTCTCCCAGACTGTAGTGCAGTGGCCGCTCCCGGCCACCGCAGCCTCGACTTGCTGGGCTCCAGTGATCCTTCCATCCCAGCCTTCCAAGTAGCTATAGGCGCACGCGACCACGCCTGGCTAATTTTTTTATTTATTGTAGAGATGAGGTCTCACCAAGTTGCCCAGGCGGGTCTCGAACCCAATCTACTCACCTCAGCCTCCCAAAGGCGCTGGATTACAGGCTGAGCCACCAAGCCTGGCTAATCAAATCTTTATTTTTAGTCACCATTTTATTAAAAAGTTTTGTTCAGTGCCATTTTTTTATTATACAGTAAAATTTCATTTAGTTAAATATTGGCTATATCCTTAATTGTTTCTATAGGCAAATTTCTAAAATGAAAATAACTGAATTTAAAATGATGCTTATTTTTAAGAATTTTAAAATACATTGAAAATTTACAAGTTTCAAAATTTGAAAAATTTGCTCACTTGTACATTTCACTCCAAGTAACAGAGCAAATGCATTAAATTTTTTTGTTACTCTTTTCCAATTTAATGAGTAAAAATATGAATATCTTCTTGTAATTTAATTTTTATTTTTATTTTCCTCCTCCTGAAACCTATTTGTGATTTCTGCCCATTTTTCTCTTGGCATATGCTTTTTTTCTGACTCAGAGAGCTTCTTATATATGAGAGAAATAAACTATCAGTTGATTATATGTTAAAATATGTCCCCAGTTTGATATTTGAGGTGAATTTTAATATGAAGAAAGTTTTTAATGTTTATGTAAATTAATATATAAATGTTTTTATAGATTAGTTATGGTAATTTAAAAATACTTCACCCTGAAGCTATATATGTATAACACTATTTTTAATATTTTTACAGTTTTGTATTTTACTTTTGAATATTTAAATTACATTATCTTGATAGAGATCTCATTTTATTTTTCCTAATGATGTAAGGAGACTCTCAAAGATAGCAGCATAGACTTACATATGATATTTATATATATGTGAATATCTATCTACTTGTTTATATATGGTAGATATATTCTTGTTTTTCTTGACTTATTAAACATGAAAGAATAGAAATAAATATAACTTCAGAAAGAAGCTAGAAAATAAATATGAGAAAGGGAGAAAGGAATTCATGAGGATAAAAGTAGAAATTGACAACTTAGCAAATAAAAAACATTAAACTTAAAAGTCAATTCAGGTAATAAGGCAGAGAAACTTCTAGCAAAAATAGTGAAGGAAAAAACAACAAACTTGGAGTAGAAATGTGAAAGTATAAGAAAAAGTTCATTGTTATTAGAAAATAATATGTACAGTTCTATTTTGGAAAGTTCAATAAAGTTAATGGAGAGGTTTTGCTCTTGCATTGTCTTCCTCTTATCCATTAGGAAACTGAACCACAAACATGATGTTACTTCCAAAGGTTTTACAGAGAGTCAGTAGCAGAAAAAGAACTAGAATCAAGGTCTCCAGAGTCCTGCTGTCATGCTTCTTCCTCTGCTGTGTACCCTCCTATGTTTTAAAAATATAAAAATAGTTGATAGGCACAAGTCAGTATTTATTGAATGCCCAACAGAGATATTAAGATCGGCTCTAAAATAATGGTATATTGTTCTGATACTTAGCATATGGCACTAAAAATGGCTTGTAATTTCTTTGGTTTATGCACAACCGCCACAAGGTTACAAACCAAAATGCAAAGGTAAGAGTTCAAACACAAATTATTCCATAAACACGGTGTCACAGAAATGGAACTTACATCAAACTACCTGGGTTCGAATTCTTGGCCCTATCAAATAGGCACTATACGCAAGTCACATAATCTCTCTAGGTCTCAATTGTCTCATCAGAAACCTACCTACGAGGGACATTAGGAGGAAATCAATGTAAAACACTAAACATGATGCTCAACACATAGTACGTGTTCAGTGAATTACTATTCTTGCAAAAACTGTCAAGTTTTATTGAACCATATATGTTTCATTGATTGGATGGTTTATTTGTTTATTCATTTAGTTATTTATTTAGTCTGAGTCTCACTCTGTCACCCAGGCTGGAGTGCTCATGGTCACCGCAGCCTCGACCCGCTGGACTCAGGCAATCCTTCCACCTCAGCCTTCCAAGTAGCTGGGACTATAGGCATGAGCCACCATGCCCAGCTAATTTGTTGATTTATTGCAGAGATGAGGTCTCACCAAGTTACTCATGCTGATCTCGAACCCATGGACTCAGGCAATCCTCTCACCTCGGCCTCCCAAAGTGCTGGGATTCTAGGCGTGAGCCACTGCATCCGGCCCAGACGTTTCATTAAACAATAAATATTTTATTGCTATGAATAAAATTATCATAAAATAGTTTTCATTAATTGAGAAATTATTGTGTGCTAAACACTGTGCTAAGTGCTTTGTATATATACACATCTAAAAGGTAAGTTAGTATTATGCCCATTATACAAATGAAGTGAGGCCTAATATAGTGGTGCATATTACTCAAGACCACAGGTTTATATCTTGCCTCCACCACTTACTCATTGTGTGGTACAAGGAAAATAACTTCTTTGTGACTCAGTTTCTTCATCTGCAAAATGAAGATAATAATATAGTACCTAGCTAAGGTTGTTGTGAGGCATTACATGAGTCAATACAAGTATTGTGATTTATGTTCTGACACACATAGAAAGGACTCAGTATGTAGTAAATAAATATTGTTTTTAAAATTATATTTATGTATAAATTATTAAACATATAAATAATATATTACATTTATTTCGTTGTTCTCAGGTCCTTGAGAAAGACATTTCTAAGTTGTAAACCTGGTAAAAAGCTTTTAAAAAGATTTTCATCTCAAAAGGACAGAGAAAGGATTTACAATAACAAGTTTTCTTAAATAAATGCTCTAATAAAAGGGAGATCAAGGGCCTAGAGTCAATCAAAATTATTATACATAATATTATAAATGTATTATTATATTTCATTATTACATATTCATCATCTATTATTGTTCAGGATCTAGTAAATGGCAGACCTGGGATCTGTAAAAGACTTCTTTTTCTGAGAACTCTTCAATACAAAGCTTATTTTTAGACTATCTATTAAGCTCAGACACTTACTGGTAAAAAATATATTCCACCAGTTATATTAATTAACAAGTTTATGCCCTTGGGTTAAATACAGCTATGTGTTTCTTTCACCAACAAGACACCATTTACCCCCAAAATTCACTGAAAAGATTTTCAAAAATTTTTTGAGGAAGCCCTAAAATACATAAAACATAGCCATCCATGGATAAAATGAACTGTAATGTGAGCTGTAAGCATGAACATATAATTTGGTAAGGTCATCTTCAAAAGTGAGGGCCTGATAGAAGCAAAATAAATATGGGTTGAATGAACAAATACAATACATGAGAGTATAGGTCTAAAATTTCTTTAGGGACATTTTTAAGAGAGGTGAAGGATTTTGGTTTTATTATACTGAGATAATTTGAGCCATGATTCTAAAGCATAACCACAATGCCTACTTTCTGTTCAGGATCTGAGAGACCGCCTGTGGGATATTTGTGATGCCCGGAAGGAAGAGGCGGAGCAGGAGCGGCTTGATATCATTAATGAAAGCTGGTTACAGGACTTTCTTGGGATAATAATCAACCATTTCTTTTCCCTGATGCAGGTAAGAGCAGCTGGTCACAATGACCAGACTCCCCTTCGCAGCTATGTCATGCAACAACTCCTTTGGGAATGTAAGGGGTCTCTTCGGGGCTCATTTTTCTCATGGCATTCTGCCTGGTATGAGCTCCAACTTGCCGAGGAAGTCAGCTGAAATAAAACACTTTGGTCCAGTTCGAACAAGCATCCAAACCGGAAGCATCCCAAGCGACTACTCACCAGCTTTACTTCCAGGTGGCCCACATATATAGAGAGCAACAGTCGGATAAGTGCCTACCCCTGAGTCTACCCCATTTACTCTTCAAAACAGACACCTTACGTGACCAGCCAAAGAAAGCCCAGGAAAGCAGAAAGCATGAGCAAGATCAGACCCAGCAGGCATTGGATTCCTGAAAATAAGAAGTCTCCCAATACTGGACTGGAAAAACAGACTAATCATCAGAACAATCTGATTAACTTTTATTCTCATTCTATCAAATAAAAAAATTGCACAGGGCAAGATAAGAAGACAGATGTTGATTTAATTCTGATATTATTGCTCATAACAGAGGAGAGAACACAGACCAGGTTTGGATACCCAGTTCTGCCGAGACAAAGGGCTGTAGAATTTTTAAGAGCTGAGGGGTCCCTAGGCCATTTGCGTTTGCTAATTGGCCTTACTCAGGAAAAGTCAACTTTCCACTATATTCATTACAGGACGTAGTTTTACAACTTGGCAAGGCAGCCACTGAAGATAGGCTCCTATCCCCACACAGGAACTGGAGGTAGAGGCCCTGTCTTTCCCTGATGATTGCTCACATTACAAAGAGATGGTTATCAGATCCTTGAGAAAGAAATTCCTGAGTTGTAAAACTATTGAGAGGCTTTCAGAAAGATTTACATCTCAAAGAAACAGAGAAAGGAACAATGACAAGTTTTCTTAAATGCTCTAATAAAAGAGAAGTCAAGGGTCTGGAAAGAAAACTGTCCAGAATTTAGTCAAGCTGAGAGGAATATTAAGGCTATCTTGGTCAAGCCGTGTGTACAGAGTATTTTTTTCCTAAGATAATAGCAGTGAAGATAGAGGGTGCATTTCTAGTCTTCAATTGATTAACTTATTTGAAGAGACATTACAGGGATGAGAATATTGTCTGGAGATCCCTAGAGCTAGCACATAGTAGGTGTTCAATAAGCATGTGTTCAACAAACGACTAACGAATGCTAGTACTTCCAGCCTTCAAAGGGACAATTCATGGTGCAAGAACAGGCTGGACTACAGGATGCCCAAAATATGAATGGAAACTTAAAGAGCAAGAGCAGCCCCAAGGTGAGAGGTTTAAAGAAAGGAAAACCTACGTAGCAATGTTAGGAAACTGGATTGGAAAAAGAAGATGGAGTTAGAAAGAGTTTATCTAAAGCAGAGGATAAAGCTGGGCCAACACCAGGTCAACAGACATCCATGTGGCGTGGGTTACACACATGATTAAAGTGAGATCTC